GACGGAGGAGACGCACATAAGGGGACGTTTCCTCTTCCTATGCGTCTCCTCCACTGTTAAATCCACTTTTCCTTCCCATCATTTCCTCTTAGAAAAGGATGGAAAGGGCAAGGGACTAAAATTAGGCCTCTAGTCCGTGCTCTTACACTTTAAAAAGTCATATAATTCTATCAGTGTATTCGCCTGCACACGGTCACATGGAAACGTATAGTTCTAATTTTCGTTAATAATTTTACATGTCAAAGAGGACATCTCGGTTCGATAGCTTTGTAAATGTTCAATCTATCAAGTGCATTTAAGGTCACATTGACTTTTATTGTAAAATTATTAATTGAACAGATTATTATTTAAATTGCACGAAAAAACAACTGAAATACAACTTTAATACTACTCATAAAAATTGCAGTTGTTACAAGGAATGTAAGAGGTGACCAAAGAGGGAATCCTTAAGGGCGTGGATTTAGATATGACTGCTGATAGAGATGTATGGGCAGTACATATTTTGCCTACTCTTTGTAGGAAGGTCTGGTTAATAATGATGATTCAGGAGTTAAAACTTAAAACGTTCGGTGATAATTTCATATATCTCTTTGTTACTTTGTCTCAAAATAGCTTTTAATGCTTTACTCCAATAATAAGAGGTTTCTACGTGCTCAAACGCCTAACCTTGAAGCCGGGCTAATATGCCGTAATAATTTCCGATGTCATGTCTAACTTTGTTAGAAGGCTAAGTATTGTAGTTTTATTTATATACGGGTATTATAAAATGTTATCTATACTTCTATACTAATATTATAAAGAGGAAAGGTTTTGTATATATTGAAATAACTCAAAAACTACTGGGTCGATGTCAAAAATTATATCACCATAAGAAAGGTAATTTATCTGTGAGTCACATAGGCTATATGTTGTATAATTTTTTTATATCACGCCAGCGAAGTCGCGAATAATAGCTAGTAAACTATAATTATATTCAATTACAATATATGCAGAGGGTCGGCCAATAAGGTTTGAAAGTGACACTTGTTTCGTTTTGACTTAAACCTGTGGATATTAAAATCAGTAAATTCTATCTCTGTTCAAAGCCTGACCAACGTTACAAATAGCTACCGACAGGTCCAAAGTGGCGAAAATCAAATAAGCACAAAGTTCCACTACTAATAGCCTCTCTATACTATATTATAATAAAGCGTAAACACACACTTCTTTGTTGCCTAAGATGTCAGCAATTACAGCATATTTTTGAATAATTCTTTTTTTAATAAAAAGCCCCACACTTACATCACGCTTTAGGCTATATGTTTTCACGCCATTAAACTTATGGGGTAAAAATTTTGGATAAAAACCCTAATGTGGGAAAGAGATCATAAGTTGCTGCCAACATCAAGGAAGCAAGGTTGCCATGGTTTGTCATCATGTCATGTCATTTTGACATTTGCAATTGATAATTTGACAAATGTAAGCAACATAATAAAATTTTTATCATTTTACGCGGTTGAATGGTTATATGTCAGTGCATCTAAATATTTCTTTCAAGGAAATACCCTGAAGTTTTGTGATTTTAAACTCTATACATCTAAAAGTAGCACACCTAAGAATATAGGGTGAAACGAACCTAAAGAATTCTAGACCTTATTTTCAAAAGATTTCTTCAACTGATGTAAGAGGTAGGATCCCTTTTATACTAAGACCTAGTTCCTTACAACGTTTTAAGGCCACTGAACGCAGGTGCTGAATTTTAGTCTCGTATAGAATATGTACTTGAATAGTGATATGAAGTGACGAGAGAGCATTTGTTGATTCAAGTGTTGTGTCAAAGAGTATGCATGTAAAGTAAAGGAATCTTACTATCTTACTAATATTATAAATGCGAAAGTTTAGATGGATGGATAAATGTTTGTAGGAGTTTGTAGTCTAAACGGCTGAACGGATTTCGATGAAAATTGGCATAGATTTAGAACATAGTCTGGAAGAACACATAGGTTATTTACTTTTTTTAATTCCACGCGGATGGAGTCGCGGGCGAAAGCTAGTACAATATAAATGTTTGAGAGTATAGACCGACAGGGGTATCTTACCTTAATTATGACAGTTCATTACTTTTTTATAATTTTTTTGTTATACTGTATAGACCTACATGGAACATATGGTAGTTGGTAATTTTGTGAACTAACAATGTCATTTTGACGTCATATTTCGATCAATCAGGGAGCAGCAACTGCACGGGGTAAATGACGACATATGTCAATGTCAAAAAGCCATAAGATCCTTGTAGGTATCCTATTGCTGTTTTAATTATAGCGCCATCTAGTGATTCTGAAACGAACTATAAAATCACAATTTTTGACCTAAAAGTTGCAGTTAATTTCAAACAAGAACAATCGAAGTATCAGTGTTTTATTCTTATTTTTAAAGAAGTGGAATATTTCTTACATTTAATAAGGTCATTGTCAAGGATGACGCTTTAAAAATAACAATTTCAACTAATTAATCTTTTTTGTTTACTTTTTGTTTCAAATTACTCAGAATTTTATATTATGCTCATTATTTTATTGACTATACTACTGGTCGCTCGCGACTCCGTCCGCACGGAAATAAAAAAAATATTGTTATACCAGGCTATGTTCTCCTACTATGTCCAATTTCATCGATCCCTTAACTTCTGAAGATAAGAAGTAAAATCCATCTAAACTTTTGCATTTATTGAATTAGTAAGGTTTCATACTAATATTATAAATGTGAATATCAAGATGGATGGATGTTTGTGAGTTTGTAAACGGCTGAACGGATTTTGATGAAATTTGGTATAAATGTAGAGGAAAGTCTGGAAGAACACATAGGATACTCACTTTCTTTTTCATTTAATTCCACGCGGACTACATAATCTATTTTCTATATAATCTTAATGAAAATCCAGACCCAACGTTCACCTTCATTATTACTAGTATCTTACTAGTCAACCTATACTTTGAATAGCGTATATACACGTGAACAGTTTTTTATAATCTTGTAAGCAGTCAGTTAGGGTAACGAACTGTGACTGACGTGCAAGAAATACTGTTTATCTAACGTTACGTATATAAAGTAACAATGTATAAAACTAACAAATTAAATGGATAAACTACCAGGAAATGTACTAGATTTTAGAAAAAATTCATTATTAACGTCATGTTCAATCATGTTCAATGAATATGTATTCATTGCCAAAAAAAGAAATTACATAAAAGGACTTATTGTAAAGAAAACACAATCGTGGCAAAAGGTAGCCAGCTCAACGTATGCTGGATGGACTAAGCCGTTCCTGCGCAGATTTTCAGCTGGCTCCTTCGCACTCATGTAACATATACATTAATTAATCTCGGTGTTCACTTCAGTGGAGGCATTGCCTTGCCCCTATATGTTTATGAAATATTTACATGTGTTGTCTCTTCTTGGGTAACTTGAAGTAATCTTATGTAGCTTAATAAGTTAACGGCCGAATGAAAAGAAACTTAAACACTACGTAAGCGACTATTATAATCTGACAGATGTCTTAATAAATAAATGCTTTATTGTTTCACGCTAATTAAATTACATTTCATGAGAGTCTTGGCTCCTGCCCTAGGTTCTTAGATTAATGGAATTTGGAGTATTTAAATATTATGAGATTTTGGTTAATTTACTAATATTTCCTTTAACCATCCCAACTAAGCTCTAGGCTTGTGCTAGGATATGGTTCACGACAATAGTCGATTGGCGGGATTCGAACCCTCGACCGCAATATCGGTACTCCACACCCCAAACCATTAGGCGGTTAGTTTAAGCGTGGCTTTATCAATAAGCTGTTATATATTGTTTCAGTATTCTGCCATATGCATACTCGGATATATGTTTTTGCTTAAATTAGTTTACAAAAATTCGTAGAATTAGATCGAGCTCTAAGAATGTCGGATGAATATAGACTTTGAAGATCCCTTACACAGAAATGTCTATTTTTACATCAAACATGTTGGTCTGATAAAACTTGTGTGTTCTTTTTCTTCACTATTTCATGCCTCGTCTAGCATGACTTTATCGTTGTGAATAATAATGATTAAATTCACTGCAATGTTTGTTTTATTGTCTTTTAGGTATAGTGGACCGGTTTGTCGGGGAATACCAAGACAACGTTCCACATAAGTTTTAGTAATTTGTAGTTTTATTGTCTGAATTAAAAGCATTTCCTGCCAGTTACACTTATCCTGTCTCTACTTACATGGGAAAGTTATGCAACCTGGTGGGCTTAAGTGAAATTAAATTATGATAGCTAGTTAGTTAGGCCCTAGTTAGCGCCTCTATCACCGCGCTATACACTCTTCTTTGTCTTTATCTAATTTACTTTCCCTCCATGTATTTTATATGGCTATCTTCTATTGTCTTTGTAATCAAGATTGTATTTATTAAGCACGAGCTGTTGCCCGCGACTTTGTCTGCGTAGTATTAGAAAACATACGAACTATATAAATTACAAATAGCTACGTATCCCTCGGGAATCGAACATTTCTCGGGGATGAAGCTTATCCCATGTGTACTCTAGACTTTGTTTTATATCTGTGCCAAATTTGAATAAGATATGTTGAACCGTTGCAGAATGATCGAGTAAACATTAAAAAACTAAATTAAAGAATCTCACGGGAACCGTAACTATTCCCGGGATAAAAAGTAGCCTATGTGTTCTTCTCTAAACCTGTGCCAAAGTTCATGGAGATACGTTTATCGGTTTAGGCTACAAACGCTAACAAACATCCATCCATCCATCCATCCATCCATCCATCCATCCATCCATCCATCCATCCATCCATCCATCTAAACTTTCGCATTTATAATATTAGTAAGATTTAACATATCGTAACAGATTATCTTACTTCTTACTTAATATTATAAATGCGAAAGTTTAGATGGATGGGTGTTTGTAAGAGTTTGTAACCTAAACGCCAGAAGGGATCTCGATGAAATTAGGCATAGATGTAGAGGATAGTCTAGAATAACACATAGGCTACTTGCGTTTGTTTTTTTATTCCGCGCCGACGGAGTCGCGGGCGAAAGCTAGTATTTTATAATCAATAGTATGAACACTTGTATTAACAATACTTAAATCGATGCATTCTATAGAATAATATTCAGGGTTAAGTTCCATCATTATTCATATAATTTCGTTTTTAATATATCTGAATGTCAGGTGTTGAATAGAAAAAGGCAATAACCTGTTATGGAATGCGAACTTGATTATCTGATGCCTCCTATGTAGACTGTCGTAAGTCACGATTTTACGCTTCTTTTATTTGTTTTTATTAAATTCATATTCATATTAATTTCTATGTAAATTTAAAAGTAAAGCGAAAAAAGGAACTAAAGATCTAATGTTCATGTTAGATGCATCGTGATTAATCGTATTAATGTCTTAGAAAACTTGTGTTTCGAACATACGATAGTTTACATAAGAGCTGTCATTTTGTGTATGCGTTTTTAATCTGTTTTCTGTAAAGATAACAACACTTTTAGTGTTATTCAAATGTAATTAAACAACATTGCGCTTTCGCCACGCACTGTTAGTTATCGTCAAAATGGCGCAAAATACAAAAACGTAGACATACCTTTATAGTCTTCTTACCTCCTTATCATACCTCAGACTCCAATACGGGCTTTGCAAACCTTCTCTTTTACACACACTACTAAAGTATATGTATGTCTCTGTCTCCAGGGTCGGCGGTGGTCAGCGTATGCATGCGTCAGTTTGATGATGCGACATCCATCACCGTTGCCATCATCATCGTGGTGACAGTCGCCTTTGTGCAGGAGTATCGATCCGAGAAGTCGCTTGAGGAACTCAACAAGCTAGTGCCGCCGACATGCAATTGGTATTTTATTATATATTAGTTTTAACAAGTATCCTATGTGTTCTTCCAGACAATCCTCTATATGCCAAAATTCATTGAGATCCGTTCAGCAGTTTAGGCTACAATTCTAACATCCATCTATCTAAACTTTCACATTTAGAATATTAATATGGTTTAAATTATTCTATTGCAAGTGACACGTGTAACTCGTGACTGATCTTTGACAGTTGTGGTTTAGATAACAGACATGCATCACACAAGGATAAGCAGCACCTCACATCTAACGCAATACCATGCTGTGTCATAGATTGACATAATCCGATTTTTTTAAAGTATTTTTAATTCGTGGACGGAGTCGCGAGTGACAGCTAGTTTGTTAAATGCAAGTCGTTGCTCGTAACTGCCCCATGTGAAAATAGAAAAAGGTAGCGCGTATGTTACACAGTGTTAACGTAGCTTTTTAATTGTCAACGTTTTTTTTAAAATAGGCCCAGTTTTTCTTGAATTGTTGCCATACAAAATTTTTTTTATAATTTTGGTGAAATATCCGAAAGACATAATTAAATACTTGAATTTCGCTTAAGCATTATTACTTAGAGCAATAAAATTGAATAAGCAGTGTAATAGAAAGTAATTGTTGAGTGTGCTAGCACTTTCCCTGCGCGGGCGCAAGTCAATGCATTGTGACGTCATATCAGCTGATTGAAGTGCGCGCGTTATAACTAGCTGTTGCTCGCGATTTCGTCCCCGTGAAATAAAAAAAAATGCTAGCCTATATTATAGCCCATATTACTCAGTGTCTTCGTAGCTTTTCAATGGTGCAAGAATGAAATCGGCCCAGTAGTTTTTGAGTTATTTCAATACCTACCAAAATCTAAAAATACAAATCTTTCCTTTTTATAATATTAGTATAAACTTAAAATTTATAGAGTTTAACATGGAATTTATTAAAAAAAAATTGCTGTATATTTAAACAATCGAAACATATATATTTTTTATGTATATTAAAATATCGTTTTTCGAGTATGTAACATCTCTAGATTACTACTAAATATAAACCCTAAATACTATTGAAAATTTAACAAGGTAGTGAAGTTAGTTGCATCGTTACTAAACTAATGTCGCCAGCTACGGAACTTTCCCTTCAAGAGATTAACTTTTTAATTGGCTCGTAGAGGTTAGCTGTCCCGTAGACCTCGCGTAGCAGTTTGTTTGGTGGCAAACGACAATTTTACCATTGAGTTTGCCAAACTTAACTATGTTTGGCCTTTTTAGTGCAACAAAGCGTTTTAATAAACCTTAAAATGCATTTAAATGTTTTAATTCAGTATACGTATTTATAGATATCAAGGAAAATACAAATTTCGTATAACGTCCTTTTTATATTAACACTAGCTTTTTCCCGCGACTTCGCACGAGTAGGATTAAAAAAAACGAAATTGAGTAGCCTATGTGTTCTTGCAGACTATCCTCTACGTCTCTACCACATTTCAACGAAATCCATTCAGCCGTTTAGGCTACAAACTCTAACAAACATCCATCCATCTAAACTTTCGCATTTATGATATTAGTATGATTAGTATGATGAAGTATATTTGCCATTGTTACTAGATAATTTTTCAGCCGACTTCCAAAAGGAGGTACTCAATTCTGTAAATATTAATAAGATTATTTTCTCCACAGTCTTCGAGAGGGCAGTATCGAGCATTTTTTGGCTCGGAACCTAGTCCCTGGAGATATTGTACATCTGAATGTTGGAGATCGTGTGCCGGCTGATCTTCGACTCTTCGAATCCACCGACCTGGCGATAGACGAATCTTCGTTTACGGGAGAAACTGAACCTGCGGTGAAAACAGTGCTGCCGAATAAAGCGGCTGGTGGAAGAGTTAATAAGGATAATATTGCCTTCATGGGGACTTTAGTACGATGTGGTAACGCTAAGGTAAGATTAAATCTATACTTATTATAATAAAGCGTAAACACACACTTCTATGTTGCCTAAGATGTCAGCAATCACAGCATATTTTCGAATAACTCTTTTTTTAATAGAAAACCCTACACTTACGTCACGCTTTAGGCTATA